ATATATATATATATATATATATATATCTCTTAGGCATGAAAATAAATGGCTGAAATCATTTCAGTGCTGTTCAGTATTTCAAAATAAGAAACTGTGTTGCTCTATTGTGCTGCATGCAATTATTAATAATGATTTGGACTGTAGTAAATATACTGAGATACTGGAAGTGCTGTTAATTAAATGTGTGTTCAACTCTAATTGTAAATGTGTGAAAATGCTTAGTTAAAATTTAAAACATGCTTGCTAGTATTGCTGGTATAATCATTCTGTATTTTCTACCTGTGTGATAAAAGTTTAATTAATTTGACAAATCACCTCTGTCAAGTCATCTAGACTATTAAACAGTGAGTCTCCAAAAGGCTGTTCTTGGATGTTAACATTCAATACTGCTGCTTTTTTCTTTTTTCTTAGATAATGTACATGTATTACCTGCTTGGCTGGAAAGGCTATATTGTGAAGAACCCTTCAAAGATCCCAGTAAGACTTTTCAGCTGTTCGAGTCAACTTATTTTGGCATTGTGTATAATTTCTTATAATTTTTCAATGACCTATCTTTTTTTTTTTTAGCAATTGAATAACTTTTCCAGAGCCAGTTTGGTCTCTCTGGATAGTGAGACTTTCGTGTTGCCTCAGTATGACAACGACAACAAACGCAAGTTCATCTCAGACGACAACACGTATATTCTTGCTCTTGACGGAGACACTGACTTCCACCCTAAAGCTGTGATTCTGCTTGTAGACAGGTGAGCAGCAGAACAGTCAACTTCTTAAAATCTGTCATGGCTCAGTATTTACATCATTTTCCTCCATAAATCACTGATGCTATTGTAGACAACAAATACCACAAATACTCATTTTATGAGCTATTTAGTCATCCACTTAGAAAGTGTCGATTTTAGTTATTGTTGCTTGTCAAACATGTCAATTTATAAAACATATTTGTGTTCACAGGTTGAGGATGTATGACAATGTAGGTGCAGCATGTGGTAGAATCCATCCTACTGGCATGGGTGAGTGGGCATTTCATATGTATTGCCACTGATGTATCATTAAATGTATTTCATTTAAAAAATAAACATTTAAAGAAAGCCTTTTGATAAACTGGAAATCGTGTATATTTCATAGGTCCACTCTAGTTCTTGACATTCCCTACATCAGCATTTAGTGGGATTTTTGCTTCTGCAGTGTTCTTTTAAGCTCTGTATATATGATGGACTAACTTAGAAACAACGTACTACATGTACTTTTTTCCAAATGCCTATTATTCTTCAACCTCCTTTGCTTCATCTCTCCTCTCATCTGCCTCTCTGCCATCCCAGGTCCCATGGTGTGGTACCAGAAATTTGAGTATGCAGTAGGTCACTGGCTCCAGAAGACAGCAGAGCATGTGTTTGGTTCTGTGCTGTGCAGTCCGGGATGCTTCAGTCTGTTCAGAGGGTCGGCCCTGATGGATGACCATGTTTTAAAAAGATACTCAACAACTGCACAAAGAGCTCAAGAATATGTGCAGTATGATCAAGGTTGGTAAACGCAACCAAAAGGATCAGTAGACTTTTTTACCTCGCCTAGCTTGTACTCTTAGTGTTTTGACATTTAAACTCTTGGTGTCTCGTGTGTGCTCTTCTAGGGGAGGATCGATGGCTGTGTACTTTGCTATTGCAACAAGGCTGGCGAGTCGAGTATAATGCTGCTTCAGATGCATACACCAACTCACCACAGGAATTTGAAGAGTTTTACAACCAGAGGAGACGATGGGGACCTTCAACATTGGCTAATACACTGGACCTTCTCCACAGGCTAGTGTTACATGTTATTAATAATAGCAGGGTTTCATTCTATAGCCATCCTGCTTTTTACTTAAAACATTAAAAAAAAGAGAAAATTTTTCATTCTTAGTTTGATGGTTTCCTGGTCATGTTTGTAGGCTATAAATCCTACAAACACTTCTACTGCCATACTAACTCTTTTGTGTTTGTGAATCTTAGTGGTCCAGAGACAGTGAAGAGAAACGAGTCCATCTCAGGGATTTACGTCTTCTACCAGATGTTCACTGTTGGATCTTCTATCCTGGGACCTGCCTCTGTGACTCTCATGATAGCAAGTAGGTTTAAGTCTAGTTAATGACTCTAACACATTTATCACCATTATTCATGCCATTAAGTTGCAGTTTATCTCTTATCCTTTCAGCTTTCAAACACTTTTTTTAGGTTTTGAAATATATCAAAAGTTCCGTTAGGGAAGTAAATCCTACAGATTCTCTCAGAAATCCGTGACTGTCTTTAAATTATGCTACTCTGCAACAAGGAAACAGAACTAAAGTAACTGAGCAAACACAACTACAATAGATATGGTTTCATTTTAAGACCGCTCCCATAAAGTAAGCTGTATAATAACTTGTTTAAAGATTTGACTGAACCAAATTCAGATGCCTTACTTGTTCCTTATGGTGTCAATAAACTTAGTTTTATCACCGGCAAATGGAAACACACAAGACTTGTTAAAATCCTTCTGATCCAGTTCACTGCATGTCACACATTAACATCTTTACTGTATGGTATAATCTTTGTTGCATGTCATTTTATGCAAATTCTTTATACCGCACTTACCAGAACTGGCGTTTACAAAGTTCCTTATTAGGGTTCACATTGTGTAGTATGGTAGACCACACTGATTTCATTGTTTCAATCCACTGTTTAGCACGTGAAATATTATTATTCTATCATTTGTTTAAACTTGTCTGGGAAATGTTGCCATAATTATTTATGTATTTATTTATTCTGAAGTATGGCTTGGTGGCCTGTTTGAGGTCCTAATGACCTCTGACCATTGCCTACCAAATTCAAGTCTGGGCAGATGTTTGTGCTACATTTTTTTAATAGAAAATTGCCACATTTGTACTATTCCAAATGCGAATACCTTTATGCATCCACAAAAACAGTAAAAAGGACAAGAAAAAAAAGGATGAAACATTAATTGTGTAAAGTGAGTTTAAAGATTTGAGTTCTCGTGGTTTGTAAAGATGTATCCTGGAAGCAAAACCTGGAACAAATATTTCTAATCTGAACTTTAATGCAGTCATTAATGCAGGTAACTACAGTGTGAACCACCAGTTTTCATTAAACACTTGGCTTAACTGAAGGCAGACTTAGTAATAACTTGTAATGGTAACTACAGGGAAATTCACTTTGCCAAGCCCATCTGCATTAATAATTTTTGTGCATTAATAACTTTACATCAGTCATTTATTTCTCCTTCTCTCCTCCCCCTCCATCTTTGCCTTCCAGGTGCTTTCCAGTTCGTCTTCAGACTCACTGGTACACTCTCCATCGTCGTCGCGTGCGTTCCCCCCGTGTTCTACATCCTCATTTGCTTTTTAACCAAGTCGAATACCCAAATAACCATTGCCGGCATCATGAGTGTTCTGTATGCATTCCTCATGACTGCGTCCTTCTTTTCCATCATTGGTGGGTAGAATCGTTTTTTGACTGTATGTTGTTGCAGTCTCATATCTTTCAAATAAATGTCCATTAAATGTGCAAATGTCTTTTTCTCTTTTAGGTGACATGGTGATTCAGCAAACCTTCTTGACCCCCACTGGATTGTTTTTGATTTCAATGGCAATCATGTACTTGATAACAGCTTTACTCCACCCTGAGGAGTTTTGTATGTTCATTATTATTGTTCTAAGCATTATTTCACATTTTTTGTGTGATGTTGCTTCATGTCATGTGACATTTTTTTGGCTTTGTTTCCTTTTCTTTCTTGCAGTCTTGATTATCTATGGTCTGATGTATTTCATCTGCATCCCCAGTGGATATCTCCTTTTGACCATCTACTCGCTGGTTAACATGAACAATGTGTCCTGGGGCACAAGGGAAACCAACAAGTAATGCATTATTTTAGACCACTGTTTGTTTAATTAATTATCATGAAATAGCAATAATATTATAGGGATCAAAATAAGAATGGAAAATTATAACAAATTCAAATCTCAAACAGAAATGTTGCATTTCCCCAAAACGCAACATTACTGTGTAAAGTTCATAAGATCTGAACAGTCGGTGGAGGAGCTGCTGTGCTTACAGCCAGAGCTCTGGACCTAAAATGACCATATCAAGAATATCGCCTGTCTTTGACATCATAAGGATCGAAGAGTAGAAAAAAGCCTGAGCCTTTAGAGAAGTCTTAGCCTGAAAGTGTGTATATATAGTCGTGCAGAACTTTTAGCTGACCAAATCCATTAGTTCATCCACTTCCTGTTGCATATTTGACACTCATCCATGAAACAAAAACAAATAAGACAGCAGGGAATTGATTTTTTTTTTTTTATCTTGTCATATCAATCACTCTTTGTGACCATACATCCTCATATCTGTCTGTCCATTAGGGGAGGTGTAGAGCAGAAGAAACTACACAATCTTCTCTGTGACAAAACCTGTAGATGCTGCTGCTGGGACATGAAGATACAGGTATGGTTACCAGACAGTTCCCGACATACCTGACAGCAGGTGATGGATGAATGGATTAATGAACTCTGTTGCTTTACAGGTAACCCAGGAAACAGAGCATCTGATATTTCAGCAGCTCGCGGGTCAGATTATACAGCACATCCCAGCCAATCCAATCACCCAAAACGAAACACCTCTACACCCAGCCTTAATGCTGGAGCCTCACACCAAACAACACGCCAAGAAAGAAGAAGCCAAGGAAGAGATTGCAAGACCTCTAGTTGATGATTTGAGGAAGAAGGCAGCAAAGAGCAGTGACCTGGGTTCCAGTAGCAGGTAGCGTTCTGTTGTTGTTGTCGTGGTTGTTTCTTCTCCTTTATTTGGTCAGTCATTTCTAATGTTGTTCGCTCACAGGCTGATCTGGCCCTATATAAATCAAATTGAATTTAATTAATTATTTTACCAGAAATCCAATATACTACTGGCCTTGAAAATAACACAGTTCCATTCAAGTCTCATACTGAACACAGCTGTTTATAAGGACAAAATGAGATGTGCGCTGGAATTAAGAAGCCCACAATAAGTGCATGTGTGCTGTGTGCAGTGACGATGGTGCTGAAAACAGGAGCATGAGTTCATCTGATGAAGAAGACAGTGATCATGATGATGACTATATGATTCGTGAGGCAGAGATTCCCGCCGCTGGTGAGAAGCACTCTAAATGCATTTAGGTCCTGAGTGCACCACACTGTAATTTCCAGCTATACATGTAGCTGTGGATCATTATATACTATACATTATGTAGCATATAAAACAGAGTAATGATGCTATCTGTGTGTGTGTGTGTGTTTTCATGTGTATGCAGACTGGGTGCACCCAGTGAAGGAAGAATTTCTGAAAAAGCTGACATACTTCAACATGAAGAGAAATCTACAAGAACAAATACGGTAAATAATAAACATCATCCAAGTATTTGCATGTTTTTGTTGTTCACTTGCAGGCATTTTTACAAGAATAATTAACATTTACACTAAAACTACGTTTGTGTAAGATGCTGTACAATTACCCCGATGGCAAAGCTGCAGTTGTGTAGTTAAACTGCTTTTGTTCTCCTCAGATATGCACTCCGTAACAAAGATTACGATGAAGTGTGCGAAGACTTGGTGCTGATGTTAACAGACACACTCAATGTAGAGCTCAATTCAGTGGGGCCTGAAGACGTTCTGTCAGACTATCAGCTGGAGGAGTTACAACTTGCACTAAACAGACAGGTGATGACAACTTTGGTGTAAATAAAATAATAACAAGTTTTTAAAACAAAATGAAATTAATTTGAGGGGAAACCTGATTTCCAGAGTTTCTATTCTTCTGAAAACTTCTGAAAACTGCTGCTGCAGAAAATACATAACTGACCTGACTTCTCTCTGTGTCTCAGGCACGGCAAACCCTTAAGACCAATCGAATGGAGAAGTTGGAAAAGAGAGTAAAGCTAGCCATTGAGAAAACACTCGCTGCCCCACAAGTGCAAAAGCTAGAAGAGGTAAGATGTTTATTCAGCTGTCGGGTCTGTCAGATAGAGGTAGATACAAAAAGTTGTATTTAAAATGAGTATTTAAACACAGTATTACTACTTCACAATGCACGGTAGATGTAAGTGTTTCTAAATGTTGCCGTTCGTTTTCAGTAATTAAGGTATAGTGAACAAAGCAACCGCCCTGAAATGTTATTCATTAGCAGATTTCTGATCTTCTAAGGAAAATAAAATTTATATTTGCTAAATGGAGTTATTGAGTTATATTGAACTGTGTGCATTTTTGTGTGTTTAGAATGAGAACGACTTCTGGAACAAGCTAATCGAGCGCTACCTGAAACCAATCAGTCACTCTAAAGAACATCAGGAGGAAGTCAACAGAGAACTAAAGTCACTGAGAAACAAGGTCAGCACTCTGATGATGACAATGATAACAAATGAATGATCCCAAATCATTATGAAAAAATACTCTGATGCGTCAGGTTGCAGGTTGGGAGTGAAACCTTTAAAAACAATTATCCACTTGAAATGTGGCAAAACGAAATCAAATATTAAATTCTCTTACCTCTCCACAGGCCGTCTTCCTCTATTTCATCATAAACGTGCTCTGGGTGGTAGCTACCTTCTTCTTGCAGGCCATTGGAAATGATGTCATCAGCATCAGGATCCCAAAGTATTATCCCAATGGAACTAAAAGTGATGAATTCCTCAAGGTTGGGACCCACAACAGACACTCCTAAATGCATGTGCTGCAGTTACAGAAGGATTGTGATTCTTTTTAAATAATTGTTTGAACTCCTGTAACATCTGATGTAATTAGTAATCCATTCTATTGCTCTTTTTCTGACAGGTGGAGCCTCTCACTTTGATGTTTCTGTTGTCTTTTGCTATTCTTCTCATTGTGCAGTTTCTGGCCATGTTATATCACAGGTAAAAGCATCATTTCACTTTAACTTTTATTTTTTTCCTCACAGGTTGTACTTTTTGACTAATTTAGTGACCTTGAAAATGAAGCAGGACAATCCAGCAGGCTTGATTGAGAAGCAGAGAAATTTAATCAAAGTTATTAATCTGGCACTGAATAACCCCACCCCCCA